TTTTACAAAAGTTACTGTACGGAAATCGCTTGTTTATTCATGGAAACTTTAAGTTAAAACGAAATAAGTGAAATTCCGATAATTTGAATTAAATCGCAATTCAGTGTGAACTCGTGCAATAAATGTAGCGAATAGATTTAAATGTCTGTTTTATAGAACTCATATAACATGCTTGACTTTTCAATCATTTTTTTTCATAAATATTTAATTAGAGTATCACCACATTCCTAGGTCTAGCCAGAAACATGTGTTGGAGAACCCCTGTCAATAAAAACACCGCCGGCTACAAGGTGAAATACAAAATAATCTCAAACACCCTTTTAGGGCCTCTCCTGCTCTCACAGGTGCGAAGTGATAAATTGAGGGATGGCCCTTTTTCAATAAATGACTTTTTATTTAGAACTCGAGAACGCAAATAGTGACAACCCGAATTGAGTAAAGTGTTGTGTGAATACATTAGCCCGCCTCTAGAATCCTGCCATTCAACAGCCGACACTGAGTTGTACTCATGAAATTCCTTCACTGAGAAAAGAGGTAGTTTATGAAATGTACAAGCTTGTAGGTTTCATGGTGTTAATTTCAATTGCTGACATTCTTTCAATTATAACGATACACACTTGAATCTGATTTCCTTAGAAGGTAAACATTGTCGTGGCGGGCCAGTGTAATAGGCACCTCGTCATTAAAACCACCCGGGAATAGTGTGTACATTTCAACCCTCGGATGTTATAACGCGTTCATGGAACCAACTTGGCATAATTTGTACATCAAACCTTCCAATCAAACGCATTGTCTACAAAATCAATCCGAGAGTATCACATATCCTGAATTCTCAAATATCACACTTTTAAAAAAACAAACAAAAAACTCCCACCCTCAAAGCCCAGATAATCGTACCAGGAGACCCAGTGCGTCTAACCCTCTCATATTAAAGTTAGTACAACATACAGATTACCTGCTTGTAATTTGTTACTAATGTATTTCCCAAGTTCCGCCAATAGCACATTGATTTGTGTGTTTCCGAGAAATTCTGCCCTATAATGAATTGAAGTACCGCTTACCTTTAAGAATCAAAAGCTTTCTCTTTATACCTGTATGTTCCTTCAGGTACTGTTAAAAAATGTTCATTCATGATGATCTATTATGATGATCAACCATTCCATTGTCTCTGGTACACCCTGATGCTTATTAAATTATGCATATCAGCACGGTTTACTGATGAACAGTGTCAGAATTCCTGGTACTCAGATTGTAACAAAACAGCTGTAGAGTGTAATATATCTAATCGAGCACAAACCAGTCAGAACCACCAGTCAGGACCAAACAGAAGGTAATAAACGAGGAAACAATGCGAAACTTGATTAAAAGAGGAAAATTAACAATATTCCTGGATCACTTTTATCAAGACTTTATGTAAATACAGTCGCCATAGCGATCTCATTAAGAAATATGTTTTGTGCGATATGAAGCTCGTTAGTGTGCTGTTGGTTCCGTTGTCGAATACCTTGTTCTCATTTGCTAACGTGACATAACGTACGGACATTAGTCAAGATTTACATGGCGGGTGTCGTCAATGAAGCAGAAGACGCTTACTCTTCTGGCACACCTGGTCTTTTTATCTTGTTCCTTTTTAGGAGTATCCATGCTAATCTTTCTTTTGCTCCTTTTTTGCCCTTGTTTTATTGAGAATTAATATGGATTATGATGATGTTGACAGTGTCGTGTTGTTAGTCATCATCAGAACATAGAAAAGAACCAGTGGAATGGTGATAGTTTGATGATTTCCTTCATACACAGTATCAATATTTTCGACCAGTACGATACAATATGAATACACAAACTAAGAACTGACTCGTGTATACCTCAACGTGAACTAAAACCAAACACAGACAAAACAAAATGACATGATGCCAAGTGTTTTCTATACAATCTAAACAAGCAATAGAATTTATCACAGGTTCCACGCAATTACCAGACATCAACCCCCTCACAGCAGAGCAAGGGAGTGTGATGGAGATGAAACTAGTTCGCTTGGTGTTTTCTAGATAATTATTAATCCTTTCCAACCATTTTAGCTATAGGCATAAATTAAACTGGAGAATTGTGAAAACTTGTTAGACTTTTTTTATGAATATTGATTACATTCAAGCATTGATTTCTTCCTATATAATTTCACTACTTCATTTATCAAGATATAAATATGATTAAATTTTTGTCGGTTCTTATATGACTATTCCGCTTGTTTTTTTCGGGATGATTATTAATTATTTCCAAGCAGAACCATTTTAGTTGTAGTCATAAATTACTTAAAATTAAAAAAATTGTTGCAATTCATAACAATAAATTTTTAGCTCAAACTTTTTCAGAGTGATTATGAACCATTTTACGTCAACTTAAGTTTTTTCCTATATAATTATGAATAACTTACCAACTTTAACATTTCCGATAACGCTATGAATCAATTAGCAGGTTTTTTTCTGTTCAATGACATATTATTCCAAATTTTAGCTTTTTCGATAAAACGATGAATTGCTGAGCACTAGATTAACATTCTAATTGTTGATGAATAACAGTCCAGCTAAACCTTTTTCAGCGTAAATGTAGTTTACTCCATAGTTTTTTTTAGTGTGACTGTGAACTATTTCTTAGCAGAGTTTATTTATGACTGTAAACAATCTCGGTATGATCATGAATTACAGCCCTTATTTGGACTAAACAGATGTTTATTTGGTGACATGTTCGATAACAAACGAACATCTTGTCTTGTCACTATTTATGGTATAGTACAAAGAAAATAAATACCAGTGAAAGTGTCAGCATATCAACAACCTGATCAACAAAGTTTGTAAATAATTATCTACATATCTATATACATTTAATCATCATCATTATCTCTTTATCTCTCGTAATTGCTGCTGTGTCTGTACTTGCTATTACATTGTTTAAACCACTTTTTCTTTCATCATTTCTACAATGTATTACACAGTATTTTACTTATAATACACAGTATTTTACTTATGATATACAGTATTACACCTCTCTTTACTATCATATATCACTAATATATTTATACTTTCTTCACAATGTCCAATTAACCACCATAATTTAAACGTTTTTTACTATTTTAAATTACCAACATATCTTATGCTTTATTCACAATGTCCAATGAATCACCATGATTTAAACGTTCTTTATTATTATAAATCACCAACATCTATACTTTCTTCACTATGTGTCATAAATCATCAACATATCTATACTTTCTTCACCATGTTTCATATATTACCAACATATCTTAAACTTTCTTCACCATGTTTCATATATTACCAACATATCTTATACTTTCTTCACAATGTCCAATGAATCACCATGATTTAAACGTTCTTTATTATTATAAATCACCAACATCTATACTTTCTTCACTATGTTTCATAAATCCTCAACATATCTCATATTATACTTTATTCACTACGTTTCATAAATCCTCAACATATCTTATATTATACTTTATTCACTACGTTTCATAAATCCTCAACATATCTTATATTATACTTTATTCACTACGTTTCATAAATCCTCAACATATCTTATATTATACTTTATTCACTACGTTTCATAAATCCTCAACATATCTTATATTATACTTTATTCACTATGTATCATAAGTCACCAACCTATCTTATGCTTTCTTTACTTTCATAAGTCACCAACCTATCCTACATTTTCCATTTAATACTTACTTCACTACTTTTGATAAACCATCATATAGTAAACTGTCTGTCATTATTGATGAACAACACGTCTTACATTTTCCATCTAATATTATCAATGACCACCATACCATACACTTACTATTTTTAATAAATCACCATATCTTAAACTTTCTTTACCATTTTAAATCAAAAACATATCCTTGATTTTCCATTTATTATTATCAATATTTTTTTATATAAACACCTACATGTCTTAAACTCTTTTACAATTTAAATCAACAACATATCTTAAACATTGTTGTCTGTTATATCTTAAACATTGTTTTCTGTTATATCTTAAACAATGTTGTCTGTTATATCTTAAACATTGTTTTCTGTTATATCTTAAACAATGTTGTCTGTTATATCTTAAACAATGTTGTCTATTATATCTTAAACATTGTTTTCTATTATATCTTAAACATTGTTTTCTGTTATATAACAACATTCTGAGGTGAAAATAATTTTCTTTTGGTTTTTGGTCTTTGACTGACACCATGAATTCTGTTCTTTAGTGTTCGGTTACATATATATAAAATGTATAGATATATTAACGCCTTGTCTTAGATAAATGTTCCCGCATTATATAAAGGCTATTTGTATTATAAGTTATGAAAATGCCATTTTGTTAGAAATACATTTTGTATAGTAGTTACGACTCCAAGTGGCACCATAAGTTTTATTGTGATCACCTACTTATTTTACAACTATCTTCTGCACATTCTGTGTCAGATAGTGTCATTGGTTCAGGGTAATAATCTGTAATATTACCGACGTCCAATCTTGGGCCGTGGGACGAGGCCAAATGTCGTTCCTATCTGGTTCAAGGGCTTGCATGGTGTGGTCAGTATGAATGACCAGCTGGTTTAGACTAAACCACTTATACAACTATTGCTATCTGGAGCTGCTTTGAAATGTTATCAAACAAATACCTTTTCACAGTTGTCAGTCTGTACTTATGCTAGGTTTATTTCACAGATTTACACCTGATCAACAACTCGCGTCACCAGAAATAGATCAGTATTCGATGTGTATGTATTAAGTAAACCGATTTAGAAAAGACTTGTTTGGCGAAAAACATACGTCTGGTATTGCTTTACACAAAAATCACGACGTACTAATAAAGAGCACCACGCCTTTTCATACCAATACCTCCGGTTAATGCTCTGTATATATATTTACTTCCGGTTTAGTGGATTCCGATAGGTTAATATCAAGGACGCTTACATGGATATAAAAGACACCTACCGTCAGGAAAAACTGTCCGCATCTTGAGGTAGCTCGTGGACAGTCGTATGATTGACGCTTTGTCAAGCTGACTCGTGATGGCGGAGGGCAAGGGCAACATCTTGGCCAATTCGTAAAATTCCGCATTTTCCTTCTCCCTCCGGGTCCGGGCGGCCGTTTTAGACTTATCCTTCATGTTCCTGCAACTGTGTGTAAAATAAAGGGATCGTTATAGACATGTCTCGACCACGAAAGCATAACGACAATGTCCCAATGTACCCGGTCCATGTCAGATTCCAGTAGAGTCTGAGGGTAGACCTTGATCAGGGACCACCAAAAACTATCCCAACAGAGTATATAAACACATAGGTCAAATGGGCAGCAGCTCCTGTTAGGTGTTTGTACCGCTAAAACAGTTCAGGTATCATGAATTGTTTACATATGAAACACCTACTTCAACAAAGAGCTGAGTATGATATTCGAGCTCCCGTACTTTCACATTTCAACTTAGTGTGAACAAGAATTATAGGGCTGGTCTATTTATATGAATAATTTGAATGTTTAATCTCCACCAGAAGGGAGTGTATTTTCCATGAGTCATCCTGTCCCATTTGCGACCGATTTACTTTTTTATTAGAGAAGCAAAAAAGGACGAAATCATTTAAACAAACAGTGACGGGCAGGGATAGATTTCGCTTGAAATAATTTATTCTCTAATCACATCAATATTTCCTGCTTCGTTCTTTCAATCATTGTATATAGACAAGGAATAAATCGCTCAATTGTGCCATTTTCCGAATGAGTTTAGGTCTTGTCTTTGAGGATGTAAATTATACAATATCTGCTTTATACAACGTTTATTCACACAGGAAATTCTACTCATCGATGTTCATCTCGCATTTACTTGTTTTCTCTAGATGAACCATATTTTAGATGACAGTATCTGCAAGCCGAGATCCTCGTCTGAGAATTCAGTATCGTAAACAGTAAGTATCATACGGTATTTCGTTCCGTAATTACGAATTACCGATTTAGCAATCTCGGTTGTCTGTCTTTAATGCTTTAATGGTCAGACTGAATCGCTCTCACGAAACTAATGAGAGGTCAACGCTACTTCTATGTGACTTTGGTCACAGATATGTTCTTATTGCAACGAAATACAACGATTTTAGAATTAATCTTAAGGATATTCAATGAATCTAACGAATAAACCCACAGATCAATTTTGACTACTAACACTTACATGTCTTACATCATTACAAACCAACGCTGTTCCTGTCGTTATAAGTTTCATTGTTTCATTCCATTGTCTCATATCAAGGTCAAATCAAATGACAATAGAACTTCTAGACACACTTCAAGAGTTCTGTTTTTGATGTTCCTAGAGAGATAACTAGTATTATTTATATACTTGTTATGTTAACATAATGAATGGTATAAACTACCTATTATCTTAAATGCATTGTATGTCTTTAGATCGAAAATTGCAACCTTTATTGAAAATTGTGTATGTACTGAACAAAACGATCATATTTCAATGTAAAGTGAACAGTTTAGAAATTATTAGCCGTGACAAATCGTAGATGATTGGAAAGAAAACTATCATGTCGCAAATATGTTGTGAGGGGAGGGATTCTCGGTTGTAGACTCGTTAGAATGCATATCAACCAATTTGGAGTTCACAGAATACCATCGTCGGCTATTCATTGAAAATTCTACGCTCAGCAAGTGTGTCGAATCGCGGAAATGGACTGGAAACTCCGCGCGCCCTCCACGAGCTGTCCCAATTTACATCTCATTATATATTCATCCACCGACCAGGGTGGATTAAAGTCTGAAGTCGCTCGATATGTATTGATCATAACGTTCAATTATTTGTATTTTATATTCGTATCTGTTTTTGTTTCTTTTTGAAATCTGTTAATTGAAAACAAACACAGTCTCCCAGATATGAAATAACAATAATATTAATACACAATCACTTCCGCTATTTTAACACCAAATCAATTCTGGAAACACCACATAGTAATCATTTCAGCTTTTTTACTCAACGCGTGTAAACGGACTGATTTAAATGCAAATGGCTATGGAACTCGAAAGGAATATTTGATTTGCTATTTCCTTCCTACAATTGTAGGGGGAATTGAAAATACCATAAAACGGAAACACTCTAGTCAACATATGTCGGCATTAATATCGCGGTCTTTTACGGGAAAATATCGCAAGAATTATGACGTGGATGAATTGTACTAGAAATTTGCTAACCCGATAAATTGGGGAATTACACCACCACCTCGCTAATTTTCGTGATAAATAGCGATATAGATATACGGCTTTGTACGAGGTGTTAGTCAGATCATATAGACAAAGGTGAGAACTGGACAACACCCTTGTCAAACTCCCGACCGGAGGGATGACAGTGTCCCGATTGTGTACGGTATTTACCGATGTTAACCGATAAGTGTCGCGGTCCGAGGTAAACCAACAAGTAGGTATACAGTAAACCTTATAAGACTTTGATGTCCCGCCATTTTTGATTAACCCACAATGGTCACTATTTAGAATTGTACCTATCTGTAAATACGGCCATTGTTAAAGGGTACATAGATTCTGTCTGGAGATTTTCTTATTTATAAGATCGCCAGGAATGGCCTGAGTAAACTTGACCACTGCCGACCTCAAGGTGTCCGGAGTAAGTTTATTTAATACAAGATCAAGAGGATAAGTGAAAGGTTAGCTTTTAAATCCCCTTGAAGGGCTATTCAATGATGTCGAGAAGGGTGTTTAAGGGTTTCAACAACAAGGGGCCAATGCACACTTGAGATTGTTAGGGACGATACTAGCCCCGATAGAAGGGCCTATCTAACGATCCCTATGCTGCACACATTATCATGGGATTAGAGAGATACGGACGACTGGGTGTCATTGCAACAAACATGTCCGCATTTCTAGTCTCATAATAAAACTTCAAGTACGATGTAGTGCACCTCAATGAAAATTACTAAATTCTAAGATAAGAGTTTATGTATAATATTTATTTTTACAAGACAAAGTTTTATATTGGCGTTATGGTATAATAAACAGATACTATAATGTTGTGTGTATCGGTCTATTCCACAAGTTATCCAAATGGCAAAAGTGTTTTTTATATATGAGCGTCAAAATGATTATCTTTAGTATAAATTAACTTATCTTTTCTATCAAAGCCGCTTAATGCTAAATATCTGTTTTCACTTTGGTACATAAGTGATTCGATTATCGTATTATCTAAGACGAAGAAAAGCAAAACATGGTGTAAACTTAGGTCATTGAAGGCCAGTAGGATTTATTTATTTATTTATCTAGGTTGGGACAACATATATATACATAGGTATTGTGTCAGTTTCTCAAAAATATCATGGGCATTGAACCTTGGTCCCACCACCGGTGTCTGGGTCAGAATTTCGGACTGAAAACCTGACCATGCATCTGATTGACCTGACCATTGTGTTAGGGGTAGACAGCATGACGTAACCGCCTGACCGGCTGTACGCTAGCTGTATCCACCAGACTTATACACATCTACAGGTGTCGTTTGTGGAGCAAAATATTCCGTATATTGTCAATTTTGACACGCGTCATTTTGATTTCAAATCACCCTAACTCATTCATATTCAATATACAAGGAGCTGTAAATAGGCTACCGATATAATAGTATTCCGAGCACATCTTACTTACTGTTCGCCAGAATTAATTTCATCAATGGTAACATTTCCATAATAAACAGAGCGACAGAGATCGCCAGTTTCCTAGCTTTTGGCTGGGATGAATTATCCAAGCTGAAGTAGGTAAAAACTTAAATATATCATGTTTAATGATTTAAAGCAGTACAATTACTTTTATCTTTATTACGTCTCAATTTAATTACACGTTTATGAATATATATTAGAATATCTAGAACTGATTTTAAAATAGATATGAACAAAAAGAAATATCAAATTCCATTTTAATTTGTGTATAAAAAAACTTGATCACATTTTAGTCCCTACACATCAATATTGCATTGTTGCTTAACTGTCAACTTAAAAAAAGGATGAAAGTGTATTGTGATAATTAGCATTGCCTTTCAAATCTGTATGTCCAAATCATGGTGAAATATTAATAACCTGAGAAAATGTATTCAGAGCACTTGTTGGCCTTCAGTAAAGACATGATTCTGTGATAAGGTACGACACTTTACAGTGTTTAACTTGTTGGCGGTTATTTTACTTTGTTGTGGGTTAAAACACTTTCCCTGTGATAAGGTACGACACTTTACGATGTTTAACTTGTTGTGGGTTATAACACTTTCCTTGTGATAAGGTACGACACTTTACGATGTTTAACTTGTTGTGGGTTATAACACTTTCCCTGTGATAAGGTACGGCACATTACGATGTTTAACTTGTTGTGGGTTATAACACTTTCAAAACACTTGTGATAAGGTACGACACTTTACGATGTTTAACTTGTTGTGGGTTATAACACTTTCCCTGTGATAAGGTACGACACTTCACGATGTTTAACTTGTTTTGGGTTATTTTACTTCGTTGTGGGTTATTTTACTTTGTTGTGGGTTATAACACTTTCCTTGTGATAAGGTACGACACTTTACGATGTTTAACTTGTTGTGGGTTATAACACTTTCCCTGTGATAAGGTACGACACTTTACGATGTTTAACTTGTTGTGGGTTATAACACTTTCCTTGTGATAAGGTACGACACTTTACGATGTTTAACTTGTTGTGGGTTATAACACTTTCCCTGTGATAAGGTACGACACTTTACGATGTTTAACTTGTGGGTTATAACACATTCCCTGTGATAAGGTACGACACTTTACGATGTTTAACTTGTTGTGGGTTATAACACTTTCCTTGTGATAAGGTACGACACTTTACGATGTTTAACTTGTTGTGGGTTATAACACTTTCCCTGTGATAAGGTACGACACTTTACGATGTTTAACTTGTTGTGGGTTATAACACTTTCCTTGTGATAAGGTACGACACTTTACGATGTTTAACTTGTTGTGGGTTATAACACTTTCCCTGTGATAAGGTACGACACTTTACGGTGTTTGACTTGTTGTGGGTTATAACACTTTCCTTGTGATAAGGTACGGCACATTACGATGTTTAACTTGTTGTGGGTTATAACACTTTCCTTGTGATAAG